ACAATTTTAGGCAGCTCCAGTCATGCCTTCATTTGGGTGGTTCAACCTTAATGACCCTGCACTGAGAGGTCGGGAGAGGTGGTTTCGCATGTTGACTTACACACTTACAAGCTTACGTCTCATTATCTCAACCATACTTGCTAACCGACTTACACCGTAACGGTCAGGGCTTTTACTTGTCTCGCTATGCCTTCACAACCACAGCCTCACATGAGCCCTTTTTAATCACTCACATACAGGACCGGTATTGTGTTAACACACACACACACACACGCACACACATACACACGAGTAAAATAAAGATAATTAGCCAAACCAGTCTATAAAAATATTTATGCCTGTACATTTTCGTTTTTAGTTATGGGTACATATAAGATGCAAGATAGAACCGGATAGTCTTCTTATGCCATCTTTTAGAGAGAAATATGACCCATTCTCGAGATCCGGTTGCTACAGAATCGTGTGCTCTGGTGGTCGAGCTTGTGTTGGTGAGGCACACTGGCTCATTCCACGATGATTAGAGGAACACACAAATGCTTGTAAAGGGAGCAGTGTCCAACAGTCAAAGATGAACGAACACGCAGATCAGAGACTGGACATGGGATAGAATGGTACCAAAATAGTCGGTTTGCTGATTATGGTACGTATGTGGTTAAAAGAAAGCTAAGAGAAGATATTGACATTTGTAAATTAGGAACGGTGGTAGAAAGTTGAGTATGATCGGACATGTTAGATTCAGCTCACCAATTAAACAGGACGTATCAGATTACGCAACCCCAGTCATGCCTTTCCTTGAGTGGTTAAACGCTAATGACCCTAGACTTTCACACTAACAAGCTTACATCTCATCATCTCAACCCTACTTGCTAACGGACATACGCAGTCTCGTTCAGGACTTTTTCTTCGGTCATTAAGCCTTGGCGTTGAAATAAAAAATTTATAGAGATAATTAGCCAAACCACTCTATATCTATCTTGGTTTTTACTTTTCTTTTACTTAATTGAGTCTACATAAAAGGCAAGATAGAACCGGATTGTCTTCTTGACCGAGTGCTAACGGTCGACTTTTACCAGAATTGTTGAGCTTACTTCCAGTTCGAGTGGAAGTGATTCGGCGGACTATCTTGACCAGCTGTCGATTGGCTTTACTGGAACATTCATGTTGAGCCTGTTTCCGAGGTAGTCTCCTTCGATTCCGTCATATGACGAACATCATAAGAGCAAGACATCATCGTCACAACCAAATTCAAGCTAACGAGTCAAGAAAACTCACCGCCAAATCCTTAAAAAGCTGTACATATACTCAATAGCTGGTCTCTTTGATGAGGTATACAGTGATTTGGTTAGTTACGGTCATGTGTCAACCTCGAAGCCTGTGAGTGTGTCTGTCTCCGACCTTCGAGCTTCACGCAACACTTTCACTCGAAATGGAAGTAAGCTCAACAATTATGAAACAAGAGATTCCTCGAAACCCAGTTTTTCTTCGCATATTTCACAAGAATGACTTCCAGCTTCAAGATGTCCTTCAAGATGATGGACGAAAGCTCCGCCCGTTTTCAACCGAAACGATGAAGGACTGCGTCAAGCTGAACGGCTGCAGCACAACGCGATTCAGCCGTCCTCTTCGGGCGAGATCGACCTTCGAATCCGTTCATGCACTTTCGCACGAAATCAAAGTCTCCCCAACGAGAATATGTAGATATGAATGTATAGATAGACGTAGAACTATTTTGTTATTTCTCTTTCATATAACTTGGTGTACATGTGCTTGAATGTGTTTGTGTGCACGCAATACCGAGTGGTGGATGGTGCCAAGAAGTCATAATGGCAAAATGGCGTCTGGCCTCCACAATGGCGGTTTCCACCTCCATGGACCGGTTTATTCTCCTCGTCTCGGTGGTGCAGGTGGTGGTGTTGTTGGAGCTGCTCATGTTGACCTTGATTCAGACAAGGACGCTGGTGCTGCTGACCGGGGTGCCGGTGGTAATGCTGATGATAATGCCGACTTTGGTGTAAGTGATGCCGGTGGTGGATCAGGTGGTTGTTCAAGTTGTGCTGGTGATGCTGTTGGTCTTAATGGTTTCGCTGATGTTGATGCAGATTGCGGCGATGCTGGTACCAATCGGTTTGCTAGTCATGCTGCTGACGTTGGTGCAGATGATTGTGCCGGTTCTGCTAATTGTGGGGCTACTGTTGGTGCTAATGCTTTTGCGAATGTTGATAGCCGCCAACCTGCCTTCTCTTCGCACGACTTTACCGCCTTGACAGGCCACTTGGCATGGCAACACGACTTCGAGACCAGCTCAACTCTGCCCTCCGCAAGAATGTAAATCACACGCTTGTCCTCTCGTCGTCACCTCGCACCCGTTTGTGCTCTGCAGTCGTGGCAACCGTACCTACACGACCAGCCGGAACCCCTCACATGTCGAGCCCGC